CAATATTTAGACAATAGAACTTATAAGTAATTCTTATCTACCTCTTCAATAATAAGTTTTTCATATTATTTAATTTTTTACCTTTTAAGTTGTAAACAAATGTTATAGTAGTGAGAAATTGCAACACATTAAGTTGATCATTCCCTTAATTACTTAACAAATGTGAATCAGCATGTCCTACCCATGAAATTTTTTGTTATACTGTTGATTTAGAACACCACGTGACAATATCATATAATACTTCAGACTATTTAATAATTACTCATAAATTATATCAAATATGATCATTATTTTATTTTTTAGAGGGTCAAATATGATCATTATTGATTTTGTAGATAGGTCCTATTTCCAATATGCTACTGGATGATTGTAACAGCTTAACTTACCAAATTTAAGGTGTTTAAAATTTGGGATAAATTTTACAAATTACACTCAATCATGAGATTGGGTTTTAAATCTTGCCATAAGCAGGACTTTCACTCTCCCAAATTATAGCCTCTAATGTATTTGAAAAAGAAAAATTTTACTTTGGAAAGTTATGGATGCTTATGGTTTGATTTGGTCGGTATTTGTGAAGAATTGGCCTCCCAACCAAATTAATCGGTTTGAAAAAATGTTATGAAATGAAAACAGACCAATCATTAATATTAATCGCACCAAACAGTTGGGCATTTGACTAATTCAATTTTATGTGAGTTAATGTTAGTCTGGTTCAGTTGGTAGAGTTTGAACCTTGGGCACAAAGGGAGTCTTCATAGTAATGCATGCTTCAAGAACAACGATGATGGTTTGCAGAGGCTAAGAGAAAGAGAGTCTAGGGACACAGATAGAGACAAAATAGGAAGATGAAATGGTTTTGCTAGAATTAGAAAAATATGGCAAAAAGTTATGATTTTGAGTCCTGACGTGCCCTTGCTAACGTCAGACGGCAGGGGGCGGAACTGATGCGACATGATGGGGACGTGATTGGTACGCTTCAATCTCATGATGATCTTGATTGAGAAATGCAATCTTAGTTTTTGGTGATGACGGACACGTGGCCTTTGGCACCGAGTCAGGGTTTCCTAAATTCCCCCTTAATAAAATATTTAGGTGGCGACTCTGTATCTGGCAAAGCAGTCCATGTTTGGCACTTCTTTCAAAATCTGTTTTCTCAAAACGATTTGCCGGATTTGGACTCTTTGGTTCAGATTTAGAACCGTGACAATTTGAGAGTCCTGAACTGTAGTGAGCCCAATATGAATAGAACGGGGGGGGACTCGCCCTCCCGAGGTGTTCGGGGACGTCTACAGGTACAGTGACGTCTTTGCTTGGACATACGACGAGATGCTTGGTCTTGACACATCCCTTGTCACTCATCATCTGGACACTTTTTCCAACTGTATGCCAATCAAACAACATGCTCGAAAGTATCACCTTGATCTTGAAGCAAAGATTAAGGCGGAGGTAGGAAAGTTATGGAGCGCCAAGTTCATTAAGCCTATATAGTACCCAACCTGGCTAGCAAATATTGTGCCTGTGAAGAAGAAGAACGGCCTAATCAGGGTCTGTGTTGACTTTCATGACCTGAATAAGGCCTACCTGAAAGACGAGTTTCCATTGCCCCATGTTGGCACACTTGTCGATTCTACTGCGAGCCATCAAATGTTCTCCTTCATGGATAGGTTCAGTAGTTATAACTAGATCAAAATGGCACCAGAAGATGCAGAAAAGACGGCTTTTAGAATGCCTTTGGGAAATTTTTTTTATACCGTGACGCCCTTCGGTTTGAAAAATACGGGGGTAACCTACCAACTGGCTATGATTGCAGTGTTCCATGACATGTTGCATTATGATGTGGAAGTACATGTGGATGATCTGGTGGTCAAGTCTACTGAGGCAAACCGACACCTCTGCGACTTGTAAAAAGTTTTTCAACGTTGCTACAAATTTTGCCTAAAATGAACCCTCTCAAGTGTGCCTTCGGAGTTAACACCGGCAAGTTTGTCGTCTTTCTTGTACACCAACGGGGGATCGAAGTAGATGGGGATAAGATCAAGTCAATCATGTAGATGCCACTGCCACACTCTCAAAAGGCCTTGAAGAAATTCCTAGGCAAAATGTCATACCTCATGAGGTTCATTCTAGCCCTTGTTAAGATAACATTTTCCTTTGGGACGCTAGAATCACAAGTTTGAATGGTTGCAAGAACACCAACAGGCATTTGATATGGTGAAGAAAGCACTTACCTTTCCACTTACAATGATTGCCTCACAACCCGAAAAGCCTCTACTACTGTACCTGACCTCTACACCTTGGTCTATTGGAGCTCTACTTGTCCAAGACATGGATGGCATTGAGAAGCCAGTCTATTACATCAGTCACAAAGTCAATGGTGCCGAGTCGCGATATACCCTAATTGAGAGGCATTGTTTAGCCTTAATCTTCATAGCGCAGAAGTTGCGCCACTATTTTTTGGCACATCCGATCCAGGTTGTGACCCGGAGTGATCTAGTCCGTTACTTGTTGAGCAAGCCCGCTCTAACTGGAAAAATGGCAAGATGACTTTTGGTTCTAGTAGAATATGACATCACTTGTGTTACTCCTAAGTCTATTAAGAGCCAAACACTCGTAGACATACTGGCCCAATTCCCATATGGTAAACATGAACCTGCAAAGGTACCTCTACCAGGTGAGGTCCATGTCTCAGCAGATGCAGTTGAGACTTATTGGGACTTAAAATTTGAAGGAGCTTCTAGAGCTGGGAAAGGTGGAGCTGGCATAACACTAACTAGTCAAGAAGGAAAAAAGTTTCATCTATCATATAAGCTTGACTATGAATGTTCAAACAACGAGGCTGAATATGAGGCGCTGATACTGGGTCTAATTGCTGCCCAAAAGAAGGGCCTTCGCAAGTTGAAAATTTGGGGCGACTTCAAGCTAGTTGTCAAGTAAACAATGGGTCATTTTGCCATGAATGAGCCTCTGTTGGCACCATATTGCACCGTAGTTGAAAGGTTGTTCAGTTAGTTTGATGATGTCCAAATCCAGCATACCCCTCGAACACACAACCGTTTCCCCGATGCCTTGGCTATACTAGGGACAAAGGTGGATATACCAGTTGATAGTATAGCCATCGTCATCAAGAAAAGAACAACACTAGCTGTGTTTGCCAAAAAATAGACAGAGAAAAATGCTGAGGGGTGGAAAGCAGATATAATGGAGCAGTTGAAAATAGGCCAGGAAATAATCAGACCAGTAGAACTTGCATCATTTTTGCTCCTCAAATGAGAGTTTTATTTTTGTGGTCCCAACAACCTGTTGGCAAGGTGCGTCAGCAGACAAGAAGCAACTTATGGACATAAACAAATCCATGCTAAGCCCTGTGGAGATGGAGATATCAGTCTATACCAACGGATACAGAGGCAAGGGTATTATTGGCTAGAGATGGAAAATGAAAGCACTGAGTTGCAGAGGCAATGTGCAAAATGTTAGTCCTATCCTAAAGAGGAAGAAGCCCACTTCTTAAGCAGTGAGGAATAGAGGCAACCACATATTGACTATCTTGGAAATGGCACACTGCCTGAGAACAAAGCCGATGCAATTAGAGTTAAGAGGCAGACCATTTTCTTCCTTGACCAAGACAAGATGTACCGTAGAAGCTTTGAAGGGGAACCTTTAGTGTGTTTATCAAAGGATGAGGCAAACGAAGTGCTGAAAGAAGCCCACAAGGCAGAGCATCAAGGAGCGCGACGATTATCTAGGCACCTTATTTAGCTTGGCTATTACTGGCCGACAATGAAAGAAGATGCTAAAAACTTTGTAAGGAGATGACAATCCTGCCAAAAATTTGGGAATTTAATACATGCTCTGGCGGTTGAACTCCACAACATCAAGACCCCTTAGCCGTTTCATACTTGGGAATTTGACCTGGTAGGTCCTATAGTGCAGCAATCCAAAGGCCACAAATGGATACTTGCAGCGACTGAAGTTAGTACTAAGTGGGTAGAGGCTATACCGATGAGAAATGCAGATGGGGTAGCAGTGGCCAACTTCATCAAAGAAAACATAATCTGTAGGTTTGGCATATCCAAAGTGATGTTGTCTGATAATGGGACCCCTTTTGTGAACCGCCATGTGGGAAGACTGTTGGACACTTATCAGATCAAGCACCACAAGTCTACCTCGTACTACCTACAAGAGAACGGATAAGCTGAGGCAACCAACAAAACTCTCATCTGAATATTGAGTAAAATGATGGATGAAGCAGGAGCCACATGGTCTGAATAACTCCATGTAGCACTCTGGGCGTATAGATTTCAAAGAGGAGTCCAACTCAGGAAACCCCATTTTCCCTAGTATATGGGTCCAAAGTTGTCTTACCAATTGAGTTGGTAGTACCCTCAGCAAGAATGAAAAGTTACTAAGTTCCATGTGATTGAAGTGGACACAAATTACCATATGATACTTGGCAGAGCTTGGATGCACCAATGTAGGGCTATCCCATCAAGTTATCACCAATGCGTGAAGGCAATGTTGGGAAAGCGCACAGTAACCATAAATGCGTCTGAAAAGCCATTCAGAGTGGAGGAGACACACTATTCGGATGCAGTTTTCTTTACTGAGTTGTCAATAGATGAAACTCCAAGGACTGGTAAAATTGTAGTGGTAAAATTGCTGAAGTGGGAAGACATTCGGGACTTGAGGCTACTCTAGAAAGTAGTGGGCAGAAGAGGAGCAGCAAGTCCACAAGTCCTCCAGGCAAGATTGTTAAGGTGCACGAGGACGACAAGACAGTTTACTACCTATGACGGTCTTGGGGACCAGACTTCATACTATGGGAGGGTGGCCCTGAGACGAATAAACGTGACGGTGATGAGTCCCAAGAAGGGTTGTTGGAGACGCCTGAGCCCGCCCCTGAATGCATGCAAAAATGACCCAAACCGCAGCAAGAGGTACTTGCTGAGGTCAACCTTTGTGACTTACCAGGGTAGAGCAAGCCCGTGTTTATCAGCGATATAATGGCTCTAGCAACTAAGGCAGAATTGATAACACTACTGAAGTGTTACAGTGACGTCTTTGCTTGGACATACGACGAGATACCTGGTCTTGACCCATCCCTTGTTACTCATCATCTGGACAATTTTTCCAACTCTATGCCAATCAAACAGCATACTCGAAAGTATCACCCTGATCTTGAAGCAAAGATTAAGGCAGAGGTAAAAAAGTTACAGAGGGCCAAGTTCATTGAACCTATATAGTACCCAACCTGGCTAGCAAATATTGTGCCTGTGAAGAAGAAGAACGGCCTGATTAGGGTCTGCGTAGACTTTCGCGACCTGAATAAGGCCTACCTAAAAGACGAGTTTCCATTGCCCCATGTTGACACACTTGTTGATTCTACTGTGGGCCATCAAATGTTCTCTTTCATGGATGGGTTCAGTGGTTATAACCAGATCAAAATGGCGTCAGAAGATGCAGAAAAGATGGCTTTTAGAACGCCCTTGGGAAATTTTATTTCTATACGGTGATGCCCTTCGGTTTGAAAAATGCGGGGTAACCTACCGACCAGCTATGACTGCAGTGTTCCATGATATGTTGCATGATGAAGAGGAAGTAAATGTGGATGATCTAGTGGTCTAGTGTACTGAGGCAAACCGACACCTCTGCAACTTGGAAAAAGTTTTTCAGCGTTGCCGCAAATTTTTCCTAAAGGTGAACCCTCTCAAGTGTGCCTTCGGAGTTACCGTTGGCAAGTTCCTCGGCTTTCTTGTACAGCAATGGGGGATCAAAGTGGATGGGGATAAGATCAAGTCAATCATGGAGATGCCACCACCACACTCTCAAAAGGCCTTGAAGAAATTCCTAGGCAAAATGTCATACCTCATGAGGTTCATTCCAACCCTTGCTGAGATAACATTTTCCTTTGGGACACTGGAATCACAAGTTTGAATGATTGCAAGAACACCAACAGGCATTTGATATGGTGAAGAAAGCACTTATCTCTCCACTTACAATGATTGCCTCACAACCCGAAAAGCCTCTACTACTGTACCTGACCTCTATACCTCGGTCTATTGGAGCTCTACTTGTCCAAGACATGGATGGCATTAAGAAGCCAGTCTATTACATCAGTCGTAAAGTCAATGGTGTTGAGTCACGATATACCCTAATTGAGAGGCATTGTTTAGCCTTAATCTTCATAGCGCAGAAGTTGCGCCACTATTTTTTGGCACACCCAATCCAGGTTATGACTTGGAGTGATCCGGTTCATTACTTGCTAAGCAAGCCCACTCTGACTGGAAAAATGGAAATATGGCTTTTGGTTCTAGTAGAATATGAAATCGCTTCTGTTACTCCTAAGGCTATTAAGAGCCAAACACTTGTAGACTTACTGGCCCAATTCCCATATGGTGAACATGAATCTGCAAAGGTACCTCCACCAGGTGAGGTCCATGTCTCAGCAGATGCAGTTGAGACTTATTGGGACTTAAAATTTGATGGAGCTTCTGGAGTTGGGAAAGGTGGAGTTGGCATAACACTAACGTGTCAAGAAGGAAAAAAGTTTCATCTATCATACAAGCTTGACTTTGAATGTTCAAACAATGAGGCTGAATATGAGGCATTGATACTGGGTCTAATTGCTACACAAAAGAAGGGCCTCCGCAAGTTGAAAATTTGGGGCGACTCCTAGCTAGTTGTCAAGCAAACAATGGGTCATTTCACCATAAAGGAGCCTATGTTGGCCCCATATCGCATCGTAGTTCAAAGGTTGCTCACTTAGTTTAATGATGTCCAAATCCAGCATACCCCTCGAACACACAACCGTTTCCTCGATGCCTTAGCTACACTGGGGACAAAGGTGGATATACCAGTTGATAGTATAGCCATCGTCATCAAGAAAAGAACAACACTAGCAGTGTTTGCCAAAGAACAGACAGAGCAAGATGCTGAGGGGTGGAAAACAAATATAATCCAGCAGTTGAAAACAGGCCAGGAAATAGTCAGACCAGCAGAACTTGCATCATTTTTGCTCCTCAAAGGAGAGTGGTATTTTTGCGGTCCCAACCTGTTGGCAAGGTACGTCAGTAGACAAGAAGCAACTTATAGACTTACGTAGATCCATGCTAAGCCTTGTGGAGATGGAGATATCAGTCTATACCGACGGATACAGAGGCAAGAGCATTACTGGCCAGAGATGGAAAAGGAAAGCATGAGTTGCAGAGGCAATGTGCAAAATGTTAGTCCTATCCTAAAGAGGAAGAAACCCATTTCTTAAGCAGTGAGGAATGGAGGCAGTCGCATAGTTGCTGTAGACACCCCATTTTTGACCGTCCTCAAGACTTGGACGTCACCATTTGA